TCCTCTCCTCTCCTCTCCTCTCCTCTCTCTCTCTACTCTCCTCTCTCCCCCCACCCCTCCCCTCCCCTCCCCTCCCGTCTCCCTCTCCTTTCCTCTCCTCTCCTCCACTCCCCTCCCGTCTCCTCTCCTCTCCTCCTCCTCCTCCTCTCCTCTCCTCTCCTCTCCTCTCCTCCTCCTCTCCGCTCCTCTCCGCTCCTCTCCGCTCCTCTCCTCTCCTCTCGTGTCTTCTCAACTCCTCTCCTGTCTTCTCCTGTCCTCTCCTTCCTCTAATTTTTTTCACCCTTTTATGCGTCATGCAGATCTCCGACCCGACGCTCAATCGATGGATCTGCTCGTCCTGCTTGTCGCAGATTTCTTCCATGGACGGCAACGCGCTCAGTCAGCTGCATCAGTACATCCTCGCCATCGAGGTTCCTCCCTCCACCTCCTCTTTCTCTTCCTGCTCCGACTGTTACTCTCATCTGACGTGACTCCTTGCCTCTCTCTTGTCGTAGGTCGAGGGTCTCGTACCCAAGAAGGAGCTCCCGGAGCTTGACAGTCTCCTGCAGCACCGCAAAAGAATTGAGCAGGCCTGGCACGCAACCCAGCGCGCTCTCCTCTCCTCCTCCAAACTCGCGGGCATGCAGGGGACGATGACCCTGACAGACAAGGGAGCAGCGGCTACGTCGGACGTCCTCCTGCCCGATGCCATGTCCGGGCTGCAGAGGAACGTGGCGGACACGTTGAGGGTGGTGTGGAAGGAGCTTCAAGAGCAGAGAGTGGTGGATCAAAGTTGGACCCTTGAGGAGGAGACGATTGAGCGCGTTACAAGCTACTCCCTAGACATCTCGATCGCTGCTGCTTCCTTCGCCATCGAGGTATCTTCATCCTCCTCCTCCTTCTTCTTACCCTTGTCCCTCTCCTGCTCCTTCCTCTTGTCGTATTCCTGCTTCTTCTTCACCACCACCTCATCCCTTGTTCCTTGTCTTCTACTCCTTTCTCTCTGCCTTGCATGCACTCACAACCTTGACAGGTTGACGGGCCTTCACATTTCGCCAGAGGAAGCAAAATACCGCTAGGTCGGACATTGATGAAGAGGAGGCAACTGCAGGTCAGTAATGAAGCAGAGGAAGAAGGCAAAGAGGGAGATCGAGGGAGGACAGGGACAGGGACAGGGACAGGGGCAGGGACAGGGACAGGGACAGGGACAGGGACAGGGACAGGGACAGGGACAGGGACAGGGACAGGGACAGGGAGAGGTAGGGGGAGGAAAGTAGGCAAGGGGAGGGGGAAGAGGGTAAGGGAGTCAATTGACGGCCAGCAGGCGATCGGCTACAAGCTCTTCTCGATGCCGTACTGGGAGTGGCACTCGGGGCTGTCAAACGAGCAGAAGAAGAGTAAGCTAAGAACCATCATTGACAAGCATGTGCTGGGCGTTGAGGTTACAATGCACGTCAGCGCTCTTTGCTCAACCTGCTGACAGGATAAGTACAAGGACACGGACAATGGCAATGACATGGATATTCATGTCGACTCAACAAGAAGCTACTTAGGGCCGAGCATGTGATGCTGTTTGGCGGAGGTTTGGTTGAGAGCGCCTGATTGCAATGCAGGAAACTTGACGAGTTGGCGGGGGGGGGAAGAAAGGAAGATGGAAATGTTGTGGTTTCAGAAGGAGCTCTCTTGCCAAAGCCGCGGAGAATTGGATCTCACAAGAGCGTGTTGACATAAAGCTTAACAAGATCAGAGACTGAACGGAGAGATAGACAAAGAACACTCATAAACTGATAGAAAACAAAGAAATTATTACTGCAAGCAAAGAAAGTAAACCGTGAAAACAAAACAAAACAAATGAACTCATGGAAGTCTGAGAAATTTTGATGAGCTGAAATCATGCGTACACGTCAACAGATGTATCTCGAAAATAGGCAAGAAGTGAAAAAGCATCAAGTTGACAACAATCATGCATTTCTACCCTTGCATGAGTTTTGCAACAAGCAACCCACTACCAAATACACACTTCAGTGTAAACATGCTTTATATTATCAATCTATAAAAATCATAAAATCTAAGTCACAACAGTCTCCTTGACCTTACGATTCAAGTGCTGAAAACTGAAATGTCAAACCTTCAGGAATGTCGGTGGAAACACACGAAAACCATCATCATCAAATCGCTAACTGTCACGAAAGATAAAATCAAATTCCTCACGGGATGATTCCCTCCGTCGTCCACCTCCGCACCAGCCTTGCAAGATAGGAAAGCTTCTCCGCCCCTGCCGTCCTTGACTTCCTCAGGTACATGAGCGTCTCCTTCGACATCTGCTCCTCCAGGCTCTTGTCGCTGTTCGCTCGCATCCCCGGCGGAAGGTATCGGTTCTTGAACTGCTCGTACTCCTCGAGCGACGTCACGTCAAACGTGATCGTGTACCCATACTGCCGCCCTTGATCATCAAACATCTTGTGTAGGGTGCACTTGAGGTACGTCACCCCTCCCTCGCTCCCTCCCGGAGCTCGACGCATCAGCCGCCAATACCACGTCACCTCGCGATGGAACGACTGACACAGCAGGTTGATGATCGTGACGAGAATCTCGTACTCGCTCACTTGCAGCAGCATGTCTCGGTTCGAGTGGCGACACAGGATCTCCGTGTGGTGATACCCCAGCAGCTCTGCTATCTCGTCTCCCAGCTTCAGCCGCTTGCTCAGAAGATTCTCTCGATCAAATTCCATAGACAACCAGCGCCCATGCCCCCAGTACTCGTTGCACGCTACTCGCTCAAACTCCTCTACCACGCCCCGCTCCTGCTTGGCGACTGCCAACCCCACGTCATCGCTCGGGAGGTTCTGACCATAGTTACTGAGCCTCCCGTACGCATGCTGTCGGCACAGCACAGCCTTGTAGTCCGGGAGGACTTTGGACTTGTCCGACATGATGTGCCTCACCCTGTCGATCCCCTCGTCCATCGATGTCTTCAGATCCAGCGGCAGGATCTTGAACGCTCTGAACAAAGTCGACGCGCTCAGCCCCAGCTCCCACATGGCGCGCACGATGGTGATGTTGACGCCGACCTGCAAGCACGCATGCCTGAGCGACTCCAGCGAGATCTCCTGGTCCTCCACGCTTTGGAACCACGTCTCCTTGGGGTCGCAGATCTGCGCGTAGAGCGTCGACGTATCTGACTCTGCCAGGCACTGAGCGCTCGTCCCGGCTATGATGCACATGGCGCAGGGCCGCACGTTGCTGCACTTGCGCTTCTTCTGACGACACTCGGAGCACGAGTTGGTGATGTACTTGGATCGCTTGCGACGAGGCTCCAGCCTTACAGCAAGAGCGTCCACAGCGACGTTGGGGTCGAAGAAATTCTCGCAGTCGAGGGAGCAGGATGGCGGGAAGTGAGAGACGGCTGGGAGATGGAGGGACCTCTCAAGGCTCTGAGCAGTCGCGGAGTTGAGTGCGGATAGCTGTTCAGCCATCATCAAGCACCAATCGTCATGATCGAGGAACTCAGAGCAGAGACGCTTCTGTGGAAACTCGCATGGGGCAGTATGAAGCATCATTTTGTTTCCCCCTGTTTTCAATTCAAGTCAATGATAGATTCTGAGTTGCATCTTAAATCTACCTTACGATTTTGGTTCTGCTTCAAATTTTACCACCAACAGATGAGGTATTATTTTTTGGAAGGAAAATTTTCTTGTTTCTGCAAGTCGAAATTTCAGTGTCAAGATTCATAGGACAATTAGTGCATGATTTGGATAATTTGCAGTGAAGTTAGTGAGCTTTTGGTACACATGGCAGAGGGGGATGATTTCAAGACAGTTAGGTTACTGCGAAAGTAAAGGCATGGTTCGAGGAGCATTTCTGCAACAAGAAGCAAGATAGAACAGCGCTAGGTAAACAAACAGCAGGAGCGGATTTAGATGGGAAGGCAGCGGAAGAGGAGGTCGGACGGTGGGAGAGGTTTACTAAAGCACTTTAAGTCCCAAGAGAAATTCCGAGAGTCACGAGTTTGTAATTGAGAAACTCAACGGTTCGTAGTATTCTGTCAGCAATCCGAATTGGCCACCTCAGTGCATTTCTTGTAGAGTACAACTCTGGTAACATTCGTTCACTGCCTCATTTTTGTTTTGGTTCAGTCTGTGGGGCGGGCTGGATGAATGATCACGAGGTTCATATTAAACCTGCATCCTTTCGGAGAGCTTTACTTCTGTGCATTCCGAAGTCTGTCAGCAATTGCAGAACCCTTTTCCATTTTCATTGATAGAACCACCCCTACCCCTCCATTACTCACACAAACGACATCATTTAGAGGGGTCCAAAACCAATCTTTTTTAGCTCAACTTCGCTGAGGGGGGACGTGGGCAGGAACATATTTAACATAACGAGCGATGGCCCCTCCCACGTCATCATTTTCTGCTCATGGAATGTTAAGTAAAAATCAAGGGATGGGGTTCATTTATTATAGTAGGTATTTTATTATGTATTATTGTTTTGACCAGTGAGTGCAGTCCGGGCCGCTTGGCCGGGCCCGGTCATCGGAACTCGGAATCCCGTCCGAAGTTGCCAGTCGCTTGTTATTGACCTAAAAATCTGTACCGCAGGGATGGGATGTTCACCGTTTTGGGAAGCAGCCCGCCGGGTTCCTCTGAGGCGAAGTGAGGCAATGCAGAGAGGCGAGAGAGCTGTAGGAGAGCGAGCGAGAGAGAGAGAGAGAGAGAACATGTCAAGATGGAGAAGAGGTGGGCGCAAACAAAGGAGAAGAGAATAAGGTGAATGCAAGGTTGTTTCATACACTTGAAAGAATTGAAGGAAAGAACATGGTCATGCTCAAAACAGAACGTCCTGCGTTCAGATACCTCATTTTAGTTTGTGTTGGTTTGAATCGCACGTGGAAGATTGCCTCTTGTATGTTATCATGCAGTGTGACTTGAGTTTTATTTGCTCAATCAGTACTTAAACTCAGGCTGACAGTGAGATAGTTGTGTCTTTAGTAGTGTTTAGCTCACTTGGATCGATACCAGCGAACCAAACCCTCCCCTGAGGAGTTGTCTCTGAAAACAAACAAAAAGAATATAGCAATTAGTAAAAGGAAAACGTTTTATAAGCTGCTGAACACTAATCTTTTATCAAAGAATCAACTGGGATGATCCGTTCCAACCTCGAAGAGAAACGGGATATAAAAGGTTTCAAAGAATACAACATACAGACACGCTGGTTTTTGATTGTTTGACAGACGATGACGATTGGTGCTTGATGATGGCTGAACAGCTATCCGCACTCAACTCCGCGACTGCTCAGAGCCTTGAGAGGTCCCTCCACCTCCCAGCCGTCTCTCACTCCCCGCCATCCTGCTCCCTCGACTGCGAGCCTCTCGTCGACCCCAACGTCGCTGTGGACGCTCTTGCTGTAAGGCTGGAGCCTCGTCGCAAGCGATCCAAGTACATCACCAACTCGTGCTCCGAGTGCCGTCAGAAGAAGCGCAAGTGCAGCAACGTGCGGCCCTGCGCCATGTGCATCGTAGCCGGGACGAGCGCTCAGTGCCTGGCAGAGTCAGATACGTCGACGCTCTACGCGCAGATCTGCGACCCCAAGGAGACGTGGTTCCAAAGCGTGGAGGACCAGGAGATCTCGCTGGAGTCGCTCAGGCATGCGTGCTTGCAGGTCGGCGTCAACATCACCATCGTGCGCGCCCTGTGGGAGCTGGGGCTGAGCGCGTCGACTTTGTTCAGAGCGTTCAAGATCCTGCCGCTGGATCTGAAGACATCGATGGACGAGGGGATCGACAGGGTGAAGCACATCATGTCGGACAAGTCCAAAGTCCTCCCGGACTACAAGGCTGTGCTGTGCCGACAGCATGCGTACGGGAGGCTCAGTAACTATGGTCAGAACCTCCCGAGCGATGACGTGGGGTTGGCAGTCGCCAAGCAGGAGCGGGGCGTGGTAGAGGAGTTTGAGCGAGTCGCGTGCAACGAGTACTGGGGGCATGGGCGCTGGTTGTCGGTGGAGATTAACAGGGAGAATCTTCTGAGCAAGCGGCTGAAGCTGGGAGACGAGATAGCGGAGCTGCTGGGGTATCACCACACGGAGATCCTGTGCCGCCACTCGAACCGAGACATGCCGCTGCAAGTGAGCGAGTACGAGATTCTCGTCACGGTTATCAGCCTGCTGTGTCAGGCTTTCCATCGCGAGGTGACGTGGTACTGGCGGATGATGCGTCGAGCGCGGGGAGGGAGCGAGGGAGGGGTGACCCACCTCAAGTGCACCCTACACAAGATGTTTGATGATCAAGGGCGGCAGTATGGGTACACGATCACGTTTGACGTGACGTCGCTTGAGGAGTACGAGCAGTTCAAGAACCGATACCTTCCGCCGGGGATGCGAGCAAACCCCAGCGACAAGAGCCGGGATGAGCAGATGACGGAGGAGTCGCTCATGTACCTGAGGAAGTCAAGGACGGCAGGGGCGGAGAAGCTTTCCTATCTTGCAAGGCTGGTGCGGAGGTGGACGACGGAGGGAATTATGCCGTGAGGGCCCGGGATGGTTTTACCTCTCAGGTGTGACTCGATGCAATGGTTTTGTGTCTTGAGTTGACTTGACTGGATGCTTTTCGCAGATTTGTTGGTGACTGAGCCATGGTTGTCACAGAGTCAGCCGCTTGTCTATCAGGCTGCCACCGGTGGTCCTCCTAACGCGGCCGTTGAGGCCTTGTAATTTAAAGAATAAAGGTTATGTGTCTATCATCTACGGCCCGGAAGCTCACCGTCAATCAGGCTTTGTCACCTGCGTTGAAACGACAGGGCTCAGGTCGTTCGCCGAAAAACAAAACTTGAAAAAACTTTCAGTAACTCATCAATCCGAATGACCGTGCGGCAGTGCGGTTGACTCTGCCACGGTGACCGTCGGCGCCGCCATTGACTCAGTGAACCGAACTCAGGCTCCGAACTGTCGGAACTCGGCCGCCCTTGCACGTACTAGCCTTGTCCGCTCTAGTATGCAGAGGCCGAACACCCGGGGCGGCTCCAGGAACAGAATCTCCTGATGGAGAGGAGACTGCAGGAAGCCCGTTACGGTTCCTCAGGCTAGCGCACAGTGACGGGATGCTGTTGAGTACGGTCATGCGGCGACATAAATGACTGGGGGATGCGCATAACAGTGAGTATTCATATCAGTCGGAGCATCGGAGGGATTTCTCTGTGGATTCAAATATCCTCTGTGAGGAGATACTACCGATAAGAAGGGCCCGGGGGGTAGGGTGGTGGAGGGGGGAACTTCTGTACCAGGAAACCTCTCGTTTGTACCAATATGTTTTCATACAGTACAATCTATACTACCATGTATGTGATGGGTAAAACTAAAATTGCAGTACCTCTAAAACCAACTTGCAAGGCCGGGGAAGGGTTCCACGCCAGAGAAATTCAAATCACCCCACCCCGCTTTTCAAAGTTCAATTTGTCCAGTCTCTCTACCCCCCCTTTGATCGGTGAAAACAGGGGGTAGTCAACAGGAAGTGTATATAACGGCGGACCCCATGTGAATCCCCAACTTGAAAAAAGTAGAAAAAAAAAGACCAGATTTGCTAGGGGCTGCATATGGGTTTGTGAACGGCATGTCAACAAATCTAGCTTCATTGTTCATCTGTTCTACTCCTAAGTGCACTATCGCTCAGTTGCTGGACTATACCCGGGCCGCATCACTCAGTGCATCAAGTTCTTGTAGAGTACGGTACAACTCTGGTAACATTCGTTCGCCTGCCTCATTTTTGTTTTCGGAAGTTCAGTTTGACTCGGCGCCAGGGTTCAGTCCGTGCCAGTCACTGAGTGGGGCGGGCCGGGCTGCCAAGGCTCCGGTCGGACCGCGGCTTGAACAGTGATCACGAGGCTCGGGGGCATATTACTCGGACCTGCATCCTTTCGGAGAACTTTACCGAAGTCCGGCCCAGTAGTGTCAGCATTGAATCATTGAATTCAGCCTGGCAGAACTCTTTTCCATTTTCATTGATAGAACCACCCCTACACCTCCATTTTTTTTAGCTCAGCTTCGCTGACTCCGGGGGGACGTGGGCAGGAACATGACCTTCCCCGTCATCATTTTCTGATCATGGAATGTTAAGTAAAAATCAACATGGGGTTCATTATTGTTTTGGCCGGGTGGCCGGGCCCGGCCATCCGATCGGAACCGTTGAACTCGGAACTTAATCCCGTCCGAAGTTGCCAGTCGCTTGTAATGATCTTTTACTCAAAATTTTAAGTTAAAGCTCTGTACGAGTAGCAGAATTCCTTTTTGGGAAACAGCCCGCCGGGTTCCTCTGAGGCGAAGTGTCGCAATGCAGAGAGGCGAGAGAGCTGTAGGAGAGCGAGCGATCAAGAGCGAGAGAGAGAGAGAGAGAGAGACAGACAGACAGACAGACAGACAGACAGACAGACAGACAGACAGACAGACAGACAGACAGACACAGACAGACAGACAGACAGACA